AGCGATAAGATAACAAAAAACTTTAAATTTAAAAGAATTTTCTACATAAGCCTTAATTAAAAATGCAAAAGCACATAATCAGTAGAGCTGCAGCTTTTGAGAAAATTTTAATCCAAAAAAATAAATACTTCAAAAAAAAACATTTGAAAATTAATGACATTCACTAGAGTTTAAGCCAAGCGATAAGATAACAAAAAACTTTAAATTTAAAAGAATTTTCTACATAAGCCTTAATTAAAAATGCAAAAGCACATAATCAGTAGAGCTGCAGCTTTTGAGAAAATTTTAATCCAAAAAAATAAATACTTCAAAAAAAAACATTTGAAAATTAATGACATTCACTAGAGTTTAAGCCAAGCGATAAGATAACAAAAAACTTTAAATTTAAAAGAATTTTCTACATAAGCCTTAATTAAAAATGCAAAAGCACATAATCAGTAGAGCTGCAGCTTTTGAGAAAATTTTAATCCAAAAAAATAAATACTTCAAAAAAAAACATTTGAAAATTAATGACATTCACTAGAGTTTAAGCCAAGCGATAAGATAACAAAAAACTTTAAATTTAAAAGAATTTTCTACATAAGCCTTAATTAAAAATGCAAAAGCACATAATCAGTAGAGCTGCAGCTTTTGAGAAAATTTTAATCCAAAAAAATAAATACTTCAAAAAAAAACATTTGAAAATTAATGACATTCACTAGAGTTTAAGCCAAGCGATAAGATAACAAAAAACTTTAAATTTAAAAGAATTTTCTACATAAGCCTTAATTAAAAATGCAAAAGCACATAATCAGTAGAGCTGCAGCTTTTGAGAAAATTTTAATCCAAAAAAATAAATACTTCAAAAAAAAACATTTGAAAATTAATGACATTCACTAGAGTTTAAGCCAAGCGATAAGATAACAAAAAACTTTAAATTTAAAAGAATTTTCTACATAAGCCTTAATTAAAAATGCAAAAGCACATAATCAGTAGAGCTGCAGCTTTTGAGAAAATTTTAATCCAAAAAAATAAATACTTCAAAAAAAAACATTTGAAAATTAATGACATTCACTAGAGTTTAAGCCAAGCGATAAGATAACAAAAAACTTTAAATTTAAAAGAATTTTCTACATAAGCCTTAATTAAAAATGCAAAAGCACATAATCAGTAGAGCTGCAGCTTTTGAGAAAATTTTAATCCAAAAAAATAAATACTTCAAAAAAAAACATTTGAAAATTAATGACATTCACTAGAGTTTAAGCCAAGCGATAAGATAACAAAAAACTTTAAATTTAAAAGAATTTTCTACATAAGCCTTAATTAAAAATGCAAAAGCACATAATCAGTAGAGCTGCAGCTTTTGAGAAAATTTTAATCCAAAAAAATAAATACTTCAAAAAAAAACATTTGAAAATTAATGACATTCACTAGAGTTTAAGCCAAGCGATAAGATAACAAAAAACTTTAAATTTAAAAGAATTTTCTACATAAGCCTTAATTAAAAATGCAAAAGCACATAATCAGTAGAGCTGCAGCTTTTGAGAAAATTTTAATCCAAAAAAATAAATACTTCAAAAAAAAACATTTGAAAATTAATGACATTCACTAGAGTTTAAGCCAAGCGATAAGATAACAAAAAACTTTAAATTTAAAAGAATTTTCTACATAAGCCTTAATTAAAAATGCAAAAGCACATAATCAGTAGAGCTGCAGCTTTTGAGAAAATTTTAATCCAAAAAAATAAATACTTCAAAAAAAAACATTTGAAAATTAATGACATTCACTAGAGTTTAAGCCAAGCGATAAGATAACAAAAAACTTTAAATTTAAAAGAATTTTCTACATAAGCCTTAATTAAAAATGCAAAAGCACATAATCAGTAGAGCTGCAGCTTTTGAGAAAATTTTAATCCAAAAAAATAAATACTTCAAAAAAAAACATTTGAAAATTAATGACATTCACTAGAGTTTAAGCCAAGCGATAAGATAACAAAAAACTTTAAATTTAAAAGAATTTTCTACATAAGCCTTAATTAAAAATGCAAAAGCACATAATCAGTAGAGCTGCAGCTTTTGAGAAAATTTTAATCCAAAAAAATAAATACTTCAAAAAAAAACATTTGAAAATTAATGACATTCACTAGAGTTTAAGCCAAGCGATAAGATAACAAAAAACTTTAAATTTAAAAGAATTTTCTACATAAGCCTTAATTAAAAATGCAAAAGCACATAATCAGTAGAGCTGCAGCTTTTGAGAAAATTTTAATCCAAAAAAATAAATACTTCAAAAAAAAACATTTGAAAATTAATGACATTCACTAGAGTTTAAGCCAAGCGATAAGATAACAAAAAACTTTAAATTTAAAAGAATTTTCTACATAAGCCTTAATTAAAAATGCAAAAGCACATAATCAGTAGAGCTGCAGCTTTTGAGAAAATTTTAATCCAAAAAAATAAATACTTCAAAAAAAAACATTTGAAAATTAATGACATTCACTAGAGTTTAAGCCAAGCGATAAGATAACAAAAAACTTTAAATTTAAAAGAATTTTCTACATAAGCCTTAATTAAAAATGCAAAAGCACATAATCAGTAGAGCTGCAGCTTTTGAGAAAATTTTAATCCAAAAAAATAAATACTTCAAAAAAAAACATTTGAAAATTAATGACATTCACTAGAGTTTAAGCCAAGCGATAAGATAACAAAAAACTTTAAATTTAAAAGAATTTTCTACATAAGCCTTAATTAAAAATGCAAAAGCACATAATCAGTAGAGCTGCAGCTTTTGAGAAAATTTTAATCCAAAAAAATAAATACTTCAAAAAAAAACATTTGAAAATTAATGACATTCACTAGAGTTTAAGCCAAGCGATAAGATAACAAAAAACTTTAAATTTAAAAGAATTTTCTACATAAGCCTTAATTAAAAATGCAAAAGCACATAATCAGTAGAGCTGCAGCTTTTGAGAAAATTTTAATCCAAAAAAATAAATACTTCAAAAAAAAACATTTGAAAATTAATGACATTCACTAGAGTTTAAGCCAAGCGATAAGATAACAAAAAACTTTAAATTTAAAAGAATTTTCTACATAAGCCTTAATTAAAAATGCAAAAGCACATAATCAGTAGAGCTGCAGCTTTTGAGAAAATTTTAATCCAAAAAAATAAATACTTCAAAAAAAAACATTTGAAAATTAATGACATTCACTAGAGTTTAAGCCAAGCGATAAGATAACAAAAAACTTTAAATTTAAAAGAATTTTCTACATAAGCCTTAATTAAAAATGCAAAAGCACATAATCAGTAGAGCTGCAGCTTTTGAGAAAATTTTAATCCAAAAAAATAAATACTTCAAAAAAAAACATTTGAAAATTAATGACATTCACTAGAGTTTAAGCCAAGCGATAAGATAACAAAAAACTTTAAATTTAAAAGAATTTTCTACATAAGCCTTAATTAAAAATGCAAAAGCACATAATCAGTAGAGCTGCAGCTTTTGAGAAAATTTTAATCCAAAAAAATAAATACTTCAAAAAAAAACATTTGAAAATTAATGACATTCACTAGAGTTTAAGCCAAGCGATAAGATAACAAAAAACTTTAAATTTAAAAGAATTTTCTACATAAGCCTTAATTAAAAATGCAAAAGCACATAATCAGTAGAGCTGCAGCTTTTGAGAAAATTTTAATCCAAAAAAATAAATACTTCAAAAAAAAACATTTGAAAATTAATGACATTCACTAGAGTTTAAGCCAAGCGATAAGATAACAAAAAACTTTAAATTTAAAAGAATTTTCTACATAAGCCTTAATTAAAAATGCAAAAGCACATAATCAGTAGAGCTGCAGCTTTTGAGAAAATTTTAATCCAAAAAAATAAATACTTCAAAAAAAAACATTTGAAAATTAATGACATTCACTAGAGTTTAAGCCAAGCGATAAGATAACAAAAAACTTTAAATTTAAAAGAATTTTCTACATAAGCCTTAATTAAAAATGCAAAAGCACATAATCAGTAGAGCTGCAGCTTTTGAGAAAATTTTAATCCAAAAAAATAAATACTTCAAAAAAAAACATTTGAAAATTAATGACATTCACTAGAGTTTAAGCCAAGCGATAAGATAACAAAAAACTTTAAATTTAAAAGAATTTTCTACATAAGCCTTAATTAAAAATGCAAAAGCACATAATCAGTAGAGCTGCAGCTTTTGAGAAAATTTTAATCCAAAAAAATAAATACTTCAAAAAAAAACATTTGAAAATTAATGACATTCACTAGAGTTTAAGCCAAGCGATAAGATAACAAAAAACTTTAAATTTAAAAGAATTTTCTACATAAGCCTTAATTAAAAATGCAAAAGCACATAATCAGTAGAGCTGCAGCTTTTGAGAAAATTTTAATCCAAAAAAATAAATACTTCAAAAAAAAACATTTGAAAATTAATGACATTCACTAGAGTTTAAGCCAAGCGATAAGATAACAAAAAACTTTAAATTTAAAAGAATTTTCTACATAAGCCTTAATTAAAAATGCAAAAGCACATAATCAGTAGAGCTGCAGCTTTTGAGAAAATTTTAATCCAAAAAAATAAATACTTCAAAAAAAAACATTTGAAAATTAATGACATTCACTAGAGTTTAAGCCAAGCGATAAGATAACAAAAAACTTTAAATTTAAAAGAATTTTCTACATAAGCCTTAATTAAAAATGCAAAAGCACATAATCAGTAGAGCTGCAGCTTTTGAGAAAATTTTAATCCAAAAAAATAAATACTTCAAAAAAAAACATTTGAAACAGAAGACAAGTTAGGTATTTTTGGTACAATTCATACCGCACAAAGTTCCAGCTACTTTCGTGCAGTCTGATGTATGACAACTAGAAATTATTACAACAAAGTTTAATGAAAATTTGATTTTGAGCTCAGTATTAAAAAAGTACCAAAATCAAGGTAAAAGTAAACTTCAGAGGAAATGCTCTGCTATTAGCAATATTTGCAGATAAGTGGAAGTGAAGAAAATCAGGCTACAGAAAGTACCTGGCGATACAATGGGGATTGGAACTTAAAATCCACCAAAAAATGTAGGTCACAAGTCCCAGGAACAGGGCCAGGATTAAATTCCCAAATATTAATTAAATGGTCAAATAGTCCAGTGTCCAATGCAGTTGTCTGCAAAAGTATCAGCAATATTATAATGCAAGCAGTCTAAAATGGTACACCATACTTGTACATTTCCTTTTCTTGTTAAAAAAATTCTAAAGCCATACGATCAAGTCATATGAGAAAAGCACAATATTAACATGCTGGGATTATGACGATAAGATCTGCACTTTAATCAACAGTTTCATCACATAGCTATGTCAAAATCTGACAGATAATTCAGCCCATGTTTAAAATCTATCATGACAATAGGAAAAAAACAATGGCGCAGAACCCTTCAGTAAAGACCAAAACTTTGACTCCTGTGTCTAGTTTTGCTTTCCATAAGTCTTTTGCTTTCCATAAGTCGAATTCAAATATCACATCTTTTTCATAAGCATCAGAAATATTGGTTATATCCCTCTAAGTTATCTCCTTCAACAAACATAAACTCATCATCCAATATCCCAATCAAACATTCATCAGCATCATCAATGTCATCTAAAAAAATCAGGTTACTAGTGTCACAATGACCATAGTATCTGATCAAAGTTTTGTTATATTTCACAAACACTAAATTCTTGAGGCCATCATATGCTATATTCTTTTTGCTATGGAGCTACAAGAAGGTTTACTGGAAATATTCTATTAGAAACTCAAATCAACTTTAGATAAAATTAATATAATTTGTCTAACTTTGGCTCATAATTATTGAAATATAAAGAACCCTTTGGCCCTTCTATAGACGCTAAAACCGTCACTTAAATTCTCTTCCGCTTCTCTATCATGAACCATTCATTTTATGCATGCATATAAATGATCCAGAAGTTCTAAATCATCAGTGATTTTTAGTTTGATGTGAAGTATTGCCAATTTAAGAAATGGTCAGTTGGATTCAAAAAAGTAATGTAGTTGAACTTCACACCATATATCCAAGATATCAAACATCTCTTGATACTTTTCATCCTTGCCATTATAAGATATAACTGTAGCTTCCTTAGCCCTATCCATTGCCTCATAAATGAAACCCATATGAAGCTTTTTCTCAGCATCTACCAAGTGAATGACTTCCAACAAAGGATCACTTTTAATCATACACCACATTGATCTGAAAAGACTTGCATAATGGTCTGATGTGTTTTCATGGCTTTTATTCCCTTTGCGGCGAGGGCTCAAGACAAATTCTTTACAGGTTAGCATGCCTTTCAAGTTCAATCACAACGCAACAGATCTAATCCATGTCAAGAATGTTGTAGCAAAATGAGTCTTCCATGGCTTAACAAATGACCACTGATTATTGAAACTTCTTAAAAAACAATCAACTCCGTTTGTGTATAACTGAAGCTATGTATAGTCATTGCTTTTTCAAACATAACCCTTAACCTTTCAAATCTTTAAAATGCCTTCAAGAATCAAATCCATATACTCTACAACACAAAAAGTGCAGAATTGGCATGGCTGCCTCTCGTTTAAGTAGTTGCCTATGAAGTATTAAGATTTAAGATAGTAAAGACAAGTTAGTATCAATAGAAATTTTAAAAATAAATATTATTTAATTCAAATAGAAAAATAGCTTGAATTCTTATCAGCGAAAAGATTCGCCGAGGTATTGTCAATGGCAAAATAAATAACATTTTGTGACCTTGATTAATCAATATAATTGCTTGATAATTCAAACAATTATAAACACACTTAAGAGTTTGAGCTTAGTGTCATTGATTCTATAAATGAAATTCCTCGTAAAAAGTCAACTTAGAAGTTAATCCAAGACTGCCAGCTATCAAAGATAAAAGTACAACCATACTTAGGTCAATCTTTCTGTTAGGCTGAAATAACTTTTTTTTTGTTATCCAGATAAAAGTACAGCCATACTTAGGTCAATCTTTCTGTGAGGCTGAAATAACCTTTTTTTTGTTATCCAGCAAAGGAGCTCGAACATCATGATAAGTTTTCACTTTAAAACAAACTATCCAAATGCCCCCACAATTACTTCAAAGGTGGCATAATTTACTACATTAAAAGTGATTCCAAAATCATACGTGCATTTAGCAAAATTTAAGAGTTGTCATATCTCTCAGTTCCTTCCTCGCATCTTCTATCTCAATTTGCATTTGAACTTTCCATTCATTCACCCTATGTTAAAGATTAGAACTGGATTTAATATACATTTCACAACATTCATATTTTTCTCATTAGAAAGAAAAGCACCTTCCAAGTGGTGTCCTTCTCTGCATATGAAGAAAGATTGTCTTAGACATTTTTATTTGATTCACTAAACTAATAATAAAGCATGTCATTTACAAAATATAGTTAAAACGCATAAATTAATTTAAAATTTAAAAAATAACTTGAAAGAAAAGTAATATTTTGACTTTGGGGAATGTCTTCTGCTCTCATAAACAAGAAAGCTAGTTTAGGAGACTCATAATTAAGAGATTTCAGTTGCTCTCACAAATGAGAAGACTCAATGAGCAAATAGGCATGACTCGCAACTAGGTATTGTCAGACTCCTTTCACGAACACAATTACTGGGGAGATAAATGGTGAAACAAATAGAGTAGGGACCTTGGAAAGGGACATCATTAGCATTGTTAGAGACAAATGCATAAGTCGATAAATAGTGTCAAAACTAGATGCAATTGTAAACTAGGTTGAATCGTGAAGCGGCTTACTAATTGGACGAAGAAGCTGGCTGATGAATATGGAAAGCGGTCACTAGGTTGCTGGCAAATGCTCTTGAGAACAATATGTCCAGGAAAGCAAAGAAGAAATTAAAACATTTGGGGGAGCTAATAAATCGAACAAGTATGCACAACATTATTTGCATAGCTTTTTGTAATCCACATTTTATTTTAGGGATACATCCATACACCTCAAGTTTTCATTACGTACACAGCTAAAGCTCAAGCAAGGAAAAAAAACTATGTATTTGTGTGTGCCATGACCAAATTATTATGAAGTTGGTGAAAATTAAAAACATGGGTTGCAGTTTTGTTTTGCACTGGGTGGTACTATTTTAAATAAAAGTAAAGGAGCATTCATTTTATAAATAGATAATATTCGATTTTTACCCATGATAATATCCTTCCATTACATTTTAATTTTTTTAATTTTATTAGTTAGTTATTTAGGCTGGTGGCTATTAGATTAGTTAATATAACTTTTAATTACTATTAACAAGACTAAGCAAAAAATTAACAAAGTTTTAAGGTGGTGCACTCTAGCCACAAATGGAATTCACCAGTGTGCTGCAACATAACTACGACACTTGGGGAATGTCTAGTATTGCCGTACATCATGCACACCAATGTCTGGTTTTGTTGTACATCATGCACACCATATTGAATCATTGACAATTATGGTTGACACAACCAATACTGAAGGGATAAAAATGCTTTATGCAATAGATTATTTCAATGAGTACCCATAACATAAGCCATGAAATTATTAAATAGCATTGTTAATCCATGCAAAGCAGCCGCAATTAATACATTGGTTTCAAAGTATCACAAGACCATAAAAAATATTAAAATAATTCATCACAATATGACTCATATAATTATATCACTCTACTAGCAAAATAAACATCTTTGAGAATTTCAATGATGATTACAAAACCATTCAATTTTTAATTTAAAAATGATCAAGTCGCTTAAAAGATGATTTGAGCAACATATTTTCTAGAATAATATTGATTTATATACGATGCTTATGCTTGAGAGAAGATATTAGAAATATTTTTTTTGTGTTAGAAGTCATCAACAAAAAAATAAATGATCTACTTTGTGCAATTTTAAGATTCTTAATAGAATGCTAACCATAGAAATATACAATCTAGTGAGTTTGCATAATGGTTTGTAGTTTGAAATGCAATAATATGCCAAATGAAACAAGTGCTAGCATGAAAAATCGTGAGGTATGCCTTACTAAATTCCAATATTAAAAATTCATGTACTAAATTCCAATATTAAAAATTCATGTTAATTATTGATTGTCATGAAAAATCTGTAAGCTAATCAAAATGCTCCAAGAGTAAAAGAACACCTAGTTGGCATTGCAACAATATACAAATCACGGACATCACCATTATCAACATCATCAACAACAATGCCTTTTCCAGCAACTAACTTCTTCCCAGTATTGTTCTAGCATATGATTTGCCTGTAATATTTATATAACGTAAGTAGGTACAATTCAACAGCTTCTATTTTCGATCCTTTGCTTAACCATTTCTTCCTCCAAATTTTCTGCATTTAGCATACCTAAAGTTTTAGATTGGCTTCATTAAGAAAAAAATCAATGAATAAGATAGAGAAGACAGATTTCAATATTAAAAAAAAAAACTTACATTCCCCAATAAGAAAACAAGGTTAAATCATGCATTGTCCACATGTCCGCTACTGGGAAAATACAAAAGGCTAAAATTTCATAGCGGTAGATGCTCAAAAACTCATATGCTAAAAATTCATGTATTCTAATCAATTCATCAATTTATGAAAAAGCAAAGCACTACTAATAAGAAATATCAAACGTTCAGTCCATAACTAATGTTCAAATCATCCTCTAACAATGCTTACCCACGATATTTCCATTGCCAGCTTATTGAAGATGAGGTGGTAAAATAAATAACTATATATATATATATATATATATATATATCTGTGTGTATATAGATAGATATAGATATATATAGTTTGAATATGTATGATGAAAACTAGAAGATGCACTGGGGAAAGATAGGATTAATGAAAAAGAATTAGAAAAATGAATTGTTAATCAGGTATAGAATGGATAAAGCTGTGAAAAATCATTTCAACACAACATGTACAAATAAAAAAAATGAAAATCCATTAAAAAGACAGTAATAGTTGGATTATGGCTAATGATGATGATAACAATGACATACACTATAAAATCAAAGGAAGTTTATAGTAATCAATGAATTTATAAATAAGTGAGCAACTGCATATTTGAAACATAAGACTCCATAAAAAGTGCTAATGGAAGATTGCTAACTTTTATGTATGTCGGTTTCCGGAGCTCAACATGTGACACATAACTTTCAACCAAAAACTTGAAACCAATTTCTAGTTCAGCATCAAAAGATCCATCATTGTTCCGCCTAATAATCCTGGAGCGTTGGCACCATGGAAGAAAGTCTTCATACAAATCAACAGCTGCAACAACATTAAAAAGTTGCTCCTGAGTGTACCTATTCATCGCACATAAAAATTAGAATAATACAAGTAAATGTGTAAAAACTTAATTGCAATTCAAACATGATTCATTTGGGCTTTAGCGTATATAGATGTTATTGGTAGAAGCTTCAAAAGATGACATATTTAGATCTATGAGTGATGATCTTCCATCATTCCATTTTTTAAATAACTCAGAAATTTTTTAATGGACCCTATATTAAAATCTCTCCTGATATACTCCCATGTTTCCCTAGGTTAATATACTGTAAAGATTCTAGCATGCTAATTTTAAACGATTATATATGAAGTTTCATTTTGAGATCCATTTGTAAGAAAAAAAAGTTGCTTGAAGATTATTAAAGTTTAATCCAGAAGCTTTCTAAATTATTTAGTACGTTAAATATGATGGTCAATCAACATTTTAATGGCAAGAACCGCATAACTAAGCCAGTGTATCATAAATGGGTTTAAACAAATTCCCTAAATCTGCAAGCTACAGCTGAAGGGCATATCTCATCACAATGCACTTCTTCGAACAACTGGTAATGGAGGGATTAATTGTGACTAATAAAACATCCTCATAAGTGATAGCCTCCTGACAGACAGACCCATCATTGTGCATAAAAGGAAATTCTAGGATTATGTATTTAAGGCACAAGCAAAACTCAATCTTGCTGACAAACTAAGTGTCCAAGCAAAAAAGAGCAACAATAAGAAGATTATCATAAAAATTATCGATACACCCATGATCATCATTGATAGAGAAACTCTTCAAGGACGATAGAATCTCATTACATGAGGCTTTTCATTAGCATACATTCCTCATAAACATGATATATTAATCTAACACAAGAACCACTTCTATGACAAGGGAAACAAAGATTCTTTGTGTGTATTGCAATGGCCCCGATGCATGCTCTCCATCATGTTTCACAACAATATAGTCCTTCGAACAAGTTCAAACAAAGTCTAATATGACAAACCCCCCAAACAAATCAGCATTATGAAAGAACCAAAACTCAGTATGTTCACAAGTTTCTAGAACTATGTACATAGCACATTCGAACGACAACAGCAAGCGAAGCCCAACCGTTTTTTAACCTTGCTAGTGAGATGAGATAAATAGAGTTGCAGAAGCACTTCTTCAGCCTACCAAAGTCATCACATTTATATAGTTAGTTTTGTGTTTATATAATAACTAAGGAATTTCTACTGACCTACAATAATAATGCATATACATTAACAGTCCCAATAATTACTTGTGAGTAATGATAGATAACATTCCCGTATAGAAAAAATTATTAGTGTTGCAGAAGCTCATCCATACAGACAATCTCACAAGTGCGCAATATGTATTCAACGCGCACATTAACCACAACAGGAAGCAATACCCGATCCATCCTTAAACGGATTAAGCAAACCAATGGAAACAATAAATGAATCTTACTGCAAAGCAATGACAGCAGTCGAACATACCCCATCACAACCCGCTCCTCATGTGACCTGCACAGAACATCACCCTCTTCGCCATCTCCAACGCCAAGAAACCATCTTGACTGAGCACTGCATGGCAAGCTTCCAATAGATGAGCCTCTACACCTCCCACCATCCCCCAACACCCGGGAAAACGGATTTCCAATTTGCGCCGCAACATTAAACCATGGAGTGGAGACACGTCGCTCGGGTCCCCTCGATCTCTCTCCACTCGACTTACTAACCAATACCGACGAGAATCGCCTCCCCAAAATCCTCGACAGAGCCTTCGCCGATGACTGGACCGGCGCCATCATTCGATTTTGAACACCACAAAAGCCCTAACTTTCCAAAAATCCCTGATAATCAAGTGGATCAAAGGCGACGAGTAGAGAGGAGTAACAAAGGAAAGGTGAAAAGGGCAGAGGGAAGATTTGGCGGCTGATGCGGCTCCGGAGATTGGGAAAAAGGATGAAGGTGGACGTACAAACTTCAAAGTCCTCCACTAGCATTTTTTTTAAAAATATTATCTGAGGATTACTCATGAGATAACACGTGGTATTATTGTGGGACCATTGCATACGTGGCACCTCCCAATTAAAATATTGATGTATTAGTCCTCCTGATTAATATTTTTTTCAATTTTTTGGGTTGCCAAACTTCTTTAAAAATCATCTTCATAAAATAAATATTATCATTTATAATTTAAAATGCTAAAAATTATCATTTTGTTGAAATAACTTTCAAAAACTCTGATGTATCAAATGAAAACAAATCTACGTGTTGACATTTACTGCAATGGAACAGAGCTTCATTGCCTTCTTAAACGAGACCTTAGCCAGCCACCTCTAATTTTGAATTATAAAGATGTTATGACATCTCAATTGCTCAATGCTTTGTATTTCAAGTTATCATATATTCATGAAGGAGAAGTTGGAGGGTTTTGATTTGAAGAAGGTGAAGAAGTTGTTTGTTTTGTTGGTTATGCCTTTGATAAATGATCTTTCTAGTTAGACATCTTCTTGTTATTTCTAAGTTTAAGAAACCTCATAGTAATATCGAACTAATTTCCCTCTCTAATGTTTTTTTTCTATTTAAACTCAATTGCATATTAAAGAGCATTTGATAATTGTTCCTATATGAGTTAAGTTTCACTAAAATCTCTAAAATTAAATTTGTTCTCTTTTAATTGTTGATAATCCAAGAGCAAAAAGTTCTAGATTAACTTTAGCTAGAGTGAGTATTGAATTTTCGACTACTTCACTCTTACCTGATTTTGTTGATATCTCTATTAGATGTAAATATATTCAAGATTTGTCTAGAAGCCTTTATGCATGTATGGATTATAAAGCCTTTATGCATGATAATTCATCTTACTCTAGATTTTCTAGTTATAAACAACCGACAAATAATCATATTTATTGTGATAGAAGTCAAAGTCGTAATAGAAAGAAATCACTGTCTAGAAGTTTTAGTTCAAAAAGGTTTTTGATATCTCCAACCATGATAATCCTATCATCTCACCTCTAAATTTGAATGTGTATGTTATTTATGTTGACATCAATAATGACTCTTCTGATGTAGAAATTCTCATTGATAATCAGGTTATGAGTATCAATCATGTGGTGTTATATTTTACTATTTATGGATCCTCTTTGCCCCTTCCTCCCATTACCAAATCTCTTCCTTCTTATGAAGTTAAAAAAAGCCAAATAAAATAGTATGATTCTTATTTGCAATTTACACTATTTATCAAATCTCTTCCTTCTTAGGAAGTTAAAAAAGCCACAAAATGCAATGAAGCATCTTTCATATCTTCCCTAACAACCTATTTATACAAAATTAATTTAAATATGGTAGATTAATATATATATATATATATATATATATATCCCAAATACTCTACACTATATATTGTGAATTGTTATTGAGATCTCCTTCCATGATAGGTACATAGCGTCTTATTTGCTCCGTATGATATCCCTTATAGCATGAACAACTTGCGTAGAAGGATAACATATGAAAATAAGATATAATTAGTTATATATTAAATTAAAAATTATATAGCACTATTATCTCTTTCTAAAAATATTTACGTTTGTCCAACATGCTTGAGCTTGAATGTGAGGCTCGTGCTGCCCGACGCCTCTTGATCGACAAAAATAGTATGAACCTCCACCCAAGTAGACGAACATGCAAGAATTATAATAGGTGGTGCTTTTTAATAGAAAGGGATGTGTAAGACAGGGGGGTGTATGACAGGGTGTGCGGTGACATTGAATTCACTAAAAAAAACATATTATTTAGAGGGAAAGTTGCAAAAATGTAAAGAGTCTTACTCACTAAGGATTTTAAGGGCTCCTTACTCATCAAAAAAAATATTTTAAGGGCTCACCCAAACCCCTATTAAGGTTGGACATCAAGTCGACTTTAATCACCTTGGCATAACTTTCAATTTTGCTTAAAATATTAACTCCCTTGTTTACTTCAGAAATTACGAGTCTTATACAAAGCATTTCTTTCTCTAGAAAAAAATCTCCTCATTTTAAAATCAAATATTAAAATGAGAGAGAGAGTAGCTATTTAACTTGATCAACACAACTAAATTCCTTGCTTGGTTGTCCTTTGTCCCCTTTATTAACTTTAACCTCCACCTAATCAAGAAGGTTGACTTATAGTCAATACATATATGAAATAAAATCGCAAATTCACAAACAAACATGTAAACATACACATCATAATATGGAATAAACAAACGTACTAAGGCATAATAGAAAAAAAAAATCTTCAAGCCAATCTTCATACTTTTCATTTGACCTGGCTTATGATAATTGGATCACTTGAATAGTAAGCATTTCTCGTGGACTTGGCTCTAGTAGTAGATTCCACACTAGTGCTTATAAGCCCTACAATGGGTACTTCTCTTATGTTGATAGGTCTCACCTTGGATCCACCAGAATGTGTTACATCATCAATTCTAGTATTTATAGTTTTAGGTTTATGAAAGTTTGTGTATTGATAAGGTGTATGAGGAGTACCACCAGTATTTGATTTCAATTCATGTAATTATAGTTTTGGGCTTCTGAAACTTCGTAATATTGGTCTTAGTTTCAGTTGGTACAATCAACAGATTGATAATTCGATTATATGTAGTTTGGACAGGACTTTTTTAAACAATTAGTGGTTAAATATTTATCATATTTCAAAATTTTTGGGAAATGTATCTTTTGATTGTTTCCTATTTTAGTTTATCTTGGCAATAATTTAAACTCCAGTGGAGCCTTATGAATAAAAATTAATGGACTTATTGTTCTGATTTATTCAATATAATTAAAACTACTTGGAATATTCAAATTATTGGTAATTCTATCTTTAACATTTATAATAAGTTGAGTAAGGTTAAACTTGCTATCAAATAGACTCCTTGGAATTCTTCCAAATACACTAAAGAAAATATATTGTAACATTAAGAAAAGCATAAATTTGTCTTTTAAAATTCAAAAACTCATGCTATATTTAAAAGTTTTCATAATGAAACTATCCTATTCAAAATAATTCGCTTCATGCTAATGATTGTGAGATTAAATGGGGTAAGCAATGTACAAAATGTGCTTGGCTTTCTAAAAAAGATGATGATATTAAGCTTATTTATCAAAGTATAAAGTATAAAGGTAATTATAATCAAATTAGAGAAAACTTAAAATAATTTGATTATATGTTCTTAACATGCTATTGTTAATGAAGTTACAAATTAACTTACTTCTTTAAATTATAATCCTAATAACCATATTGACCGTTCTTCCACTATGCATATTCCTATAAATCATAAACTTTTTTTCTCAAAATATCAGGATTTTATGATTGAATTCACTGATGATGATATTAAAAATTCTCTTTTTAACATTAGGTCTACCAAAACTTTCAGCCCTGATGGCCTTAACTCAAAGTTAATAAAAGATATTTGGTCCATTACTGGCTCTTATTTTCAAGCTTCTAATCTTCCTAATATGATTAAGCATCAAGTTATTACTCTTATCCCTAGAAAATCACATGTTGAGTCTTTAAATGAGTATAGACTCATTTGTCTTTACACCACTTTTTACAAAGTTATCTTTGAACTTATTACTAGCAAGCCTAAGTTTTTACTTCAAATGATTATTCATCTAACTTAGTCTATTTTCATTTATGAACGTGATATTGCTGATAATATTATCTTGGCTAATGAGATGCTTCATAGATTTAATGCTTCTTCTAATCCTAACCAATTTTGTACTAAGATTGATCTCAAAAAAATGTCTAATAATGTAAATCATAAATTCATTTATGATATACTCATTGATATTGGGTTCTAGTTGATTTATTTATATTAATTGAACTAGTACTTCACCCATTTAATAAGCAAGTCAAAATGTGACTCAATATAATTTTACAAATTTAAATAAATAAATAATTGAATAAACATTAATTGAACTAGTACTTCGCCCATTTAATAAACAAGTCAAAATGTGACTCAATATTTAACTCTTCAAATAATATCAACAATATAATATTACAAATTTAAATAAATAAATAATTGAATAAATTTTAATTAAAAAAATTTAAAAAAATACTCATAGGTATTAATTTACTCACTGAATTCTTATGAATTTACAGATCTCACGCCAAAACTTTCATATTTACACACAGGGTTCAAAAATAGTACTAATTATCACTTTTTAATAGTCAAATTCATCTTTTGTTGCATAATTTATGCGTATAAATATAGAAGCTTACGTGTGGAATACGTAAATCCATAAAAATTGTGTGCTATGTATGTAAATTTCCCATAAGTTTACGACACCAGTGTTATAAATATGAATGAAAGATGTATTTTTTATGTGATGTGAAAAATTAGAGTGCTAAGCATACAAATATTGAAACAAGAGTATTAAATATGTAAATATATAAGAATTTAAAATTATTTTAATATGATTTAAATTACTTAATAATATAATAATGTGATAAAAAAAATAAAACTCATTGTATTTAATAATTATAAATTTAAAATTTAATATAATGCTCATTAAGATATGATTAAAAAAGTTTAAATTCTTGTCATCAAGGTATTTGTATGTCAAATTTACCGGAAAGATTTACATAAATACCACTCAAATCCTATGAATTTACATATGGATTGAACACATAAACTTCACTTTTTCCATAATGCTCATTAAGATATGGATTGAGTACAACTGCAACAAACAACCAGTCAGCTTCCATGCAGCTGCTTCCTCACAGCAGTTTCTTGGGGCAGCGCAACTGCAGCTGAAAAGATGGAAAGCTACAACTGCGCCAAACAGAGCCTTAGGGTCCGTTTGGGGCAGCTTGTGCGTTTCAGGATAAGCAGCTTATCCTGAAACGCGGCCCGCGTTTAGTGTAAAAACCCAAACGCAATTTCGGAAAAACTAGCGAAACGCACGAATCAAACGGTACGGCGGCGTTTTCAAAACGCCGCCCGCACTTATAAGCTGCCCCAAACAGACCCTTAGTTATGCATAAGGCGTTTTTCACTTTTTAAAAGTTACAATGGTGGTATTTTTATGCGATATGAAAGTTTTGGTTGGTGTAAATGTGAAAAGCAAAATTTGAGTATTAGATATATAAAAACATAGGAATTGAGTGGTATGTTTGTAAATGCTCCAATTTATTAATTAGTTCACCTTGAATTTAACTTTGATTCAAACAATCAATAAGGGGCATTTACATAATTACCACCCAAATTTTAGGAATATTTACATATCAACCACCCAAACTTCAATTTTTACGTACAGACGGCCAGATTCCTATGCTATTAGCAATTGGTTGTGGTATGTATGTAAAAATTAAAATTTAGGCGGTTGATATGGTAATATATAGGAATTGGATGGTAGGTATGTAAATCTCCATATAAGAATTGAATGGTATATATGTAAATGCCCCAAGTAAAAAAAACTTGTGAAATAATGGATGTGCAAAAAGAAGAAAGATACCAATAAGCTTGAAATTTTGGAATACATTCATAGGATACATTAGTTAGAAGGAATTACATCAGAAAACTTGCAAAACCTTGCACTGTATACATGGGCAGTTCTGCAATTAAAAAATTGTTGAGTTAGAAATAGAAAGAGAAAAGGAGCACTTCAAAGTGGTCTTATACAGAAAAAAAAAATATTACTTCCGCACGTTCGAACGGCCAACTGTCGAGTGCCACGTAGCCCAGCGCCGACGTGTGCGATGTGGCGTCCGGCAGTTGGCTGTACAGAAGTACGGTGTCCGTGCGTAAAATTTTCTCCTTTGTACATAGCGCTAAACTAGTTTTCATGGCCACATAAATAAACTTGAAGTTTACTCTGCAACTCTCGTTTCAGGCTTTTCAGTCTCCCATTTGAACAGATAGCTTCTTGGAAGGAAATGAAATTCAGATCTTTGAGAAAAAGAATATGGAGTTAATAAGGGGCAAATATGTAATCCTAGACTTTATACCCCTTTGCATATAAATAGGAGGGTCGTTTCTACAGTAAAGAGTTAATCAATCGGTTACAAGAGAGCCACTTCTTTATTGTGCACTCCAACTCGTTCTCTATTTCTCTCTCATGTTTCACATTCTATTTCTTGGGTATGATTTACAAGACAGATTCATATTTGACAGTTAGGATAAGGAGAAGCTCTTAAGGTCAAATAATAGTAGGAAAAAATACATATTAACACTAATTATATGCCTGATTAGCATTAATAATGATGATTTCAAGTGAGCAATGAATGCGTTTTAAATGAAAGTAAATCTCTAACAAATGCGATAATGAGATTTGAAAATGAGAGATGATGCTTTGTGTGGCATTTAGGGTTTGTTTGGTGGAAGTTCTTTCACTTGTTTGTTTTCTTGAAAATTGCTATAAATTTGCTCGCGCGTAAGGTGTCAATATAATCTCCCGACTATTTACATGAGGTCATTTGAGCACCTAAGTCTATAAAAATGTAAAATTAGTCCCCAAAATATTTTAATATGTGCTGAAATAATTCCAGGGAGTAGTATTTTAGCTCATTAAAAGAGTTTGAGATTAAAATGACAAGGACAAAGAATCAGCAAACCATTTTGACACTTTCTCTTTTGTTTATCAACTCTTTCTTGTTGCTTTTTATAATTTTTTGAGCTAAGATGACAATTTTATATGCTATGATGTTGTAGTTGTAAGAAAATTATGTTGAGAAGATGGAGCTTGATGCACCAGAGCGGTGAACGAGCACCGCAGATCGGCATACCTAAGCCAATACCGGGCATAGCTACGTCAGGCGTTCTACCTACACCGAACAGTGGCATAACCATACCACAGGTTCAACCTTCAGGATTTCTTATTGAGCGGATGGAATAAATACGCCACTCCTGACATAGCCACATTGCAAGCGTTCTGTTTCAAACTATGCGATCAAAATATTAATGTCGAAGACGGCGTGACAACGCCAAAGATGGTTTCTCTTTCAATTTGGTTATTGAGGCTTTGAATCGAAGTTAAGTGTGTGCGAACAAAACATTTCGTGCAGAAATCTCGATGGTGCTTGGAGAAGTAAAGGTCAAGAGAGTGAATTTCAGTGTTGATTTCTATTGTGTTATCAAGAGGATTTGGAACGAAGTTCTCTCAGTTCAGTGATTGTAGAGATAAGATCTGAGTGTTATAATTCATGTACTTTTCTTCCATTCATAGTATAATTTTCATGCAGTGTAGCTTCGTGGTTTTTTCTATTCTCACGGTTTTCCACATAAATCTTGGTGTGCTTTTATGAGATTACATTGTTGTGCAGTTATATTCAATTTATTTTTTTATGTTACAGACTTCTCAAATAGGTGTGTTGTGATTATTCTGAGGCTTGTATTGGTTGCAAATCTGTCAAAACCTAGGTTGTTCCATCCCTACAAGTGGTATCAAAGTAGGCACAAAGGGGAAAAGTTTTTTTTTTCTTTTTTTTAAGACATTTGGTTCGAGTGGGAGCAATGACAGATAAAGCAAGGCACAAAGTGGAAAAGTTCAATCGATCGAACTTCTTGTTCTGGAGGATGCAAGTAGAGGATTTTTGTATCAAAAAATTTTGTATTTGTTACTACAAGAAATCACCAAAAACTTGAATCAATGACTATGGAAGAATAGGAGATGTTGGACCGAACAACTGTAAGTTTGATCCGTTTCTCACTTTCCTTGTTTGTTGCGTTCAACACAATGAATAAGAGGACTACAGAAGATTTCATGACAGCACTGACAAGGATGTACAAAAAAGCTTTTGTTTCATACAAGATTTTCTTATAAGAGATTATTCAACATTAAGATGATGGAAAAGTCCAGTGGTTAAACACTTAAAGAATTTCAATATTGTAACTAGTCAGTTTTTTCTGTGATGATTAAATTTGATTATGAGGTTAGAGCACTGTTAATTCTATCTGTATTTTCGAATAGCTAGAATGGATTGGTTATGACAGTAACCCTTCAGAGAATATGAAGTAAACTTCGATGACATCGTGAAGTTGGTGCTGAATGAAGAAGTTCGTAGAAAAACAGCAAACAATGAATCTTCAAATCCTGCGTTGAATGTTGAAAATAGAGAAAAAAATATGGACAAAAATATTGGTAGAGACAAACTCAAAACCAGAAGAGGAAAGTCCAAGTCAGGAATAGGAAATGACTGAGGAGAATGCTACAATTGTGAAAAGAAAGAGCATTTTAAGAAGGATTGCAAGAAAGGAATCATCTAAAAATGTCTCCATGGGCAAAATCAAAGCTGAATCTCTGATTTTATCTCTATTCAACACTGAATCTTGGATAATAGATTCAAAAGCCTCTTTTAATGTATAACTCAACAAAGAGATATTAAAAAATTACATTTAAAGCGATCTAGAAAGGTTTATTTATGAGACAACAAAACTTGCAATATCATGGGAAAGTGTAATGTGAATATCAAGTTGTCAAATGGAACAGTCTAGTAGCTTACAAAAGTTAGACGTGTTCCAAGTCTGAAGAGAAATTGAATTTCGGTGAGTCAGCTGAAAAATTCAGGGTACGTGACTACTTTCATAGTCAGTTCGTGAAACGTGGCAAGGGGGCAATGTAATGACTCCGGTGAACATTTAAGGTACTCTTTACCCGATCAATGAAATGAAAATTCATTGATGTGATTGGAATCATGGTGGATTCATGTCTTTGACATTGTAGGCTTAGCTATATGAACAAGAAAGGTATGAAGTTCATAATTTCTAAAAATAAATTTCAGGATTTGAAATCAGTAGTTTTGGACTTCTGCAAAAATTACATATGTGGCAAGCAGGAGAAAGTTTGTTTCTCTAAAGATGGGTCAATGGTGAAATCAAAGAAACTGGAGTTAGTGCATGTTGATGTATAGGGTCCTACTCTGGTACAGTCCATCGAGGATCTCACTATTTTCATTTCAGTGAGAACCTTAATAGAACATCTGAAGTATTTGAAGTGTTTAATAAGTGAAAGATCATGATAGAAAATGAGATAGACTTGAAGCTGAAGTGTCTCAAATTAGAAAATGAGAGTACCGTGATCAAATGTTTAGAAATTTCTATGCTACAAAGAGGATAAAACATTGTTCATTGTTCTAAGGACACCACAGCAGGAGGGTGTGGCTAAGCGCATGAACAAAACAATCATAAAGCATGCCAGGAGCATGAGACTGCATACAGGCTTGCCAAAACAGTTATAGGCTAAAATACTGAACACTGCTCTTTATTTGATTAATCATGGTCCATCAATACCATTAAATGAAGGCATAAATGAAGAATCCTAGAGCGATAAGGAGTTAAATTTATCTCAACTAAAAGTATTTGAGTGTTTTGTATACGTTCATGTCGATGCAGGGACTAAAAGTATGCTTGGTCTAAATCTATGAGTGTAGTTTCATTGGATACGATTGAGATGATTTTGGGTACTGTTGACCTCAATTTTTCGTGAGGTCTAGTATTCCTCGTAGGAGTTAGGATCTAGCCTTAGGGGTCTTCCTGCGACTATCTTAGAACCTTAGAAGTGGGACCCGCCT